GGAGGGAGGGAATGAGGGAGGGAGGGAGGGAGGGAGGCAGGGAGGGAGGGAGGGAGGGCTCACTGGACCAGGGGGCCGGATCACCTGATTGTCGGATCAATGGTTTAGGGAATCGGATCACCAGCTCACCAGCTCATCAGATCATTCGGGCATTGCGGAATGGGGGAGCGATAGATGGGTGGGCCGAAGAAAGGTGCACCTTTTGTGCACCTCAGGGGCCTTGAACGGCCCCCCTGGGGCAAACAAAAGAACATGAAGGGTGCACGTTTCTTCGCTCCCCTGTTTATCGCCTTCCCTTAATTCTGCAGTGCCCAAATCACCCGATCACCAGATCACCAAATCACCAGATCAGGCTGCGGGATCATGGATCACCGGACCATTGCAGCGATCGAGTGACTTGGATCACCGAATCACGAGACCACCAGATCAGGCGGCCAGATCACCAGATAACTGGATCACCATGTCAGTGGCCCAATGAACCAGATCACCCGATCACCGGATCAGGCGGCTGGATCACCGGATCACCAGATCAGTGATCCAGTGACCAAATCACCACATCACCGGATCAGGCGGCCCGACCTCCACATCATTACTGAATTTGATCACCAGATCAACAGACCAAACCACCAGATTACCAAATCACCAGACCAGTTATCCAGTGAATTGGATCACCAGCACGAGATCACCGGATCAGGCGGCCAGATCATCAGATAATTAGATCACCATATCAGTGGCCCAATGAACCAGATCACCCGATCACCGGATCACTGGATTAGGCGGCCCGATCACCGACTGGATCGCTGGATCACGAGATCACTGTATCAGCTTGGAACACAGAATCATCAGATCACCGCATTGGTGGGGATCACAAGATCACTGGATCACCAGACCAGATACCCAGATCAGTAGTCCAGTGAACTGGATCATATCACCGGATCGCCCGAACAGGCGGCCCGATCACCAGATGACCTGATCACCCGATCCATGGATCCCCCGTTTTTGAGATCACAGCATCATCGGATCGCCAGACCCTTGGATCACCAGATCACCAGATCAGGCGGCCAGATCATTGGATCATCGGATCACCGCACCAGATCACCAGATCACCAAATTTCAAGATCACCAGATCACCAATTTCCAGATCACCCGATCATTGGATCACCAGATCTTTGGATTATGGGGTCACTAGATCATTGATCATTGGATCACCAGATCAGCGGATGTTCGCACCACTGGATCACCTGGTCACCCGATCACCACATCTGGCTGTTGGATCGCAAGTGTCACCGCATCACTGGATAACCACATCACCCGATCACCAGATCTCCGCATCAGTGGATCACTGGGTCACGAGATCAGGTGGCTGGATTCCTAGATCAGTACCGGATCACCACATCACCTGATCAGGCGGTTGGATCACCAGATCACCAGATCAGGCGGCCAGATCCCCCGGCCGACCCAATTGGAACCTTTGCATCACATCAACTCGTGTCCTCGGGGGGAGGAAGGGGGTGACGGGGAGACCCCCCCCTCTGACGTGCCGCCCTTCTGTGTCCACAGGCGGGGACGGGGTCAGGAGGGAGGAACGGGGGGGGTCTGTGATTCGTGTGTTCCCCCATGTTCTCCGTTGGAAGTCGGTTCCGACATCCTGGGTTGCGGCTGTCCCCCTTGGGGTGGGTAAGCGGGGGCAACAATCCCACACGCCGAGTGACCCCAAGGGGTCGGCGAATTTCGGCGGCTTCTTCGAATTCGTTGGGCGGGCGAAGGAGGAGGAGGAGCAGCAGCTCGTCGGGGAGGCCCGCAAGATTGCCGAGACCTCGGATCTGGCCGGGCCTTGGAAGGCGCCATTGAGCCCCGGCGACACTTACAGTGGCTCCAGTGCATGGCCGCTCAGTAGCACAGCACAGTGCACCAGCGCCGACATGACGATCCTCAACGATATGGCCTTGAAGCAGGCGAAGAAGAAGTTGCCACCAGCCATGCGCGCGGGGGATTTCAAGACGGGGTCGTGCTACACGGGGGCCGAGGCTTCTGGGTCGTGGGACATGACGGGTACTTCTGGGTTTGTGCCGTGCTACCAGTCGTACTTCCCCGTGTCCACGCCGTGCGCCACCTGCATCGGGAGCGTCTACTTGATGGCCAAGCACAACATGTCGACTAAATGCTACAATCTCTGCAAAGGGCGCCCGCATAGGCGGGACGGTGCCCACTGGTGCTGGGAAGATTGCCAGTCATGCATGTGGTACATCGGGAAGAAGCTGTCAGACTGTTACGGGGAGCCTTACGACATGGCGTGCAAGTACGCCAAGGAGCTCGGGAAGGAGGGGTGGTTCGAGAAGAATGGCATTGACCCCAACGGGGCGTTTCCGTAGACGGTTTCAGACGTCGCCGCTTGCTTCAGCTGCGTGCTTCTATCGAACTTCTGAATCTGGTGGCCGCGCCCGCGCCCGCGCCCGCGCTTTCAGCCTCATTATTTTCGCCCTCGTTCTCCTTCTGCTCCTCGCCCTCCGCGTTTTCCTCCTCCTCCTCTCCTCCTATTGCTGCTCCGTCCTCCTCTCTCGCCTTGCCGCTCCTGCTCCTCCCTTCTGGTCCCCTTCTCCCTCCTCCTCCTCCTTCCTCCCCTCCTCCATTCCCCTCCTCTCTCCCTCCTCCCTCCAACTTCCTCCTTCCTCCCTTCCACTCTCTCCTCGCCGTCCTGCTGCTGCTCCTGCTCCGCCCTCTTCTCCTTCCCCTTCCCCCCCTAAGGGCCTCCCTGGACCGCCTCGGGCCCCGCGGCCGCTCGGACACCGCCTCCCAGAACTATTTTGCGCCAGGCTGCGAGGAGCCTCCAGTCTGGAGGAGGAGGAGGAGGAGGAGGAGGAGGAGGGGGAGGAGGAGGAGGAGGAGGAGGAGGGGGAGGAGGAGGAGGAGGAGGTGGAGGAGGAGGGGGAGGAGGAGGAGGAGGAGGAGGAGGAGGAGGAGGAGGCCAGACCCGAGAGGTGGCCCTCGAGGCGGAGGAGGGGTGGGGGTGACGGGGGCCGGTGCGTGATCGGGCCAGTCGGCTCGAACGAGTCAGTAGCCCCCCGCCCACTCCCACCTCTTCGCCCACAACGCGAAGTTCAACGCAGGCACTGCTCCTCCTCCTCCTCCTCCTCCTCCTCCGCCTCCTCCTCCTCCCAGGTGGAGATCCAGTTGCCTGCAACAAGTTGCGCCACCGAGGCAGCCCAGCATTCTCTGGGTGGCAGCTCTTCGCGGGGTCCGGGGAGGCCGTCGCGTCTGACCCCTGTCGCCCTCACTCTTTGAGGAGCTCCTACAGTTGAGCTCAATTGTGCCATTTTGAGGCTGTCTTTGGGGCTCTTTTGGGGCAGTCTTGAGGCTCCCTTGGGGCCCTCGTGTGCCGTTTTGGGGCCCTCTTGGGCCGTCTTGGGGCCCTCTTGGGCCGTCTTGGGGCCCTCTTGGGCCGTCGGGGGGGTCTCTTGAGGCAGTCACGGGGTAGTTTTTGGGCCGTCGTGGGCCGTCTTGTACCTTTCTTGAGGCACTCTCGGGCCAGCTTGGAGGGCTCTATGGGCGTCTAGGGCCCTCTTGGGCCCTCTTGGGTCTTGCGGGGGCCATCTTGGAAGCCGCTGGGAACGTTTTGAGCCGACAGGGAGCCCGAAATGGCGAGAATACGAACATCCTTCAATTACTCTGACGGTAGGACCCCACATGAGAACCGTCCAAACTAATTTGGGATTATTAATCCTCACAGTCGCCCCTGTGACCACGGATGCCCTCTTCCTGTCTGGTTTCAGGTGCTCCTTGCCGACGCTTACAAGCATGACTGAGGATTGCCGCCTCGGATTCCAAAGGGCGCTCGACAAAGGAACGAGGCTCCCGCTCGCGAGTTGGGTAAGATTCAAACTCCCATGTATCTCCAAACCTTTGCTTTCACAGGCAATCCCGATGGCCGCCTCGGGTTAATAACATGGAGCGGGGGGTCCATAGGGAGGAGCTCCCGCTCGAGACTTCCACGCGATTCACTTGCATGCGAGCTCCCCAGACAGCGTTTCAATCATCCCAGTGCGACCCTACCTAAGAGTTGGAGCATCTAGGACAGCAACATCTACATCTACACCGACAGCTACATTAACATCTACACCTGCATCTACATGTACATCAACATCAACAGCGAGACTCACATCTACATCTACATCTACACCTACGTCTACACCTACATCTACACCTACATATACACCTGCATCTACATCTACATCTACATCTACATCCACATCTACATCTACATCTACATCTAGGGCAGTAATAACTTGTTATTGCAAGTCATAAGTCGACGCCCCCAGGCGGGAGTGTCCCGCCGTCGGCGCACCGCGCGATGGCGGGCGCCCGCATGTCCACCCGCCACGCGCCGCCGCTACGTCGGGCGGGCCAGGCCCCGCGCGGGCATGCTGGCGTGCCGCGCGGCCGTGCGTCGGGGTCCTTCCTCCCTCCGCTCCTCCGTGCACGGTCGTGATGTCTCCTCTTTGCCGCCTGGCCGCGGGGCGGGATATCAAGTGCCCGGTCATGTCTGCAGCGCCCCACCTGCCTAGTGTGCACTCTTAAGGTGGGGCGGCTGGCCGGGGTGTGGTCCTCTGTCTGCCAGTGTGCGGCTCTGGACCAACCCTGGGGGCGACGCGCGGGGCGTCCGTTCGCCAGAGTGCGTCGGACGCGACCGCGGTCGCGCTTCTTTTCTGGCCCAGTGTGGCCCCTCGTGGGTGTCGTTGTCTAGGGCTTTTCCCTGCGGGTCCTGTGTCCCTTGGTTCACCTCGGGCCAACGCCGCTGGTCCTTGGTGACCTACGCGTTGTTTCTCCACCCTGGCGGAGTCTGTTTCACGGCCCTGAGGGGTCACGGCATTGCTATCAAGCCCAGAGTGGCCTCTTACGTCGGCCCAGTGTGACCAACGTACCCATAGGGTTCCCCCTCGCGGGTCCAGAGCGACACTCGTCTGGCGGTCCAGAGTGGCCATTCAGTAGCAGGGCAGCCGATGCCAGCCCGCATGTCTGGCGGCCCTAGAGCGGCCAATCTTCGATAGGGCGGCCGTTGCGGCTTGCCTGACTGCCAGCAGACCCGCGCGTCTCGCTTGGAGGCCCATAGTGGCCAATCGTTGCAAACGTTTCTTTCGCGTTCCCAGTGAACAGTCGAGCGCGAGACTCGCAGCGCGCCAGACTCGCAGCGCAAAGGCAGCGAACTCCCGCCGTCGGTCGACGGTTTTTGCTCTGGCTGCCGCAGGTTCGCAGCGGCTCCGAATGTCGGGTGATGTCAGCGGCTTCTGCTTGCTTGCGATGGCGGAGCAGGCCGCGCAGGCGGCGCTCGTGCCGTTCGAGGCGAAAACAGAAAAGGGGCTCCTTGGTGCGCACCGCATCCCGCGCGCGGGTCGCGTGCGCAGACACAGTGTTGTCGCGAGCGCGCGAGCGGCTTCGCTACCTGCTGGTTAAGGGGGCGGGCCCCAGGCTGCAGGGGCGAGCGCCAAGGGGCCCGCCCCTAGTAATGCCAGCACCAGCTGCCAGCGAGAGCTGCTGGTCGCCAGTCCGACTCGGAGCAGTCGGCCCTCGGTTAGTAAGGCTGGAGCATGTGTGGGCTGAACTGCGCTTCGCCCTGGCCCAATGCGCACCGCGTTTGCCGCGCGACGTCTGCCATATCATAATGGGCTACGCTAAGCCCCTGATCGTCTCTGCGCCCGTGATGCGCTACCGTCTAATGGACAATCCAGACAGCGGCGATGAAGCGCACTTCCGCGGGGTAAAGCTGCGAGTGCGCCCGCCAGCGCGGGTCGCGGGCGCCTAGGGCGGCGCGCGCGACCACGACGCTTTTAACAAACGCGCGCGCTCGTGCCGTGCGTGTCGCCCCAGTGTGGATTTGCGCGCTCCCTCCCGCAACTGGAGGCCGCATAAGGGTCGCTGCGCGGGCTACTAAGTACGCCGTGTAGCGATGTCGTCTGACAACTAGGTGCCGTCAACGCAGCCCGCCCCATGTCGCGAGACGTGTCACATTGGCCCTATTGTGTGTTCTTATTGTCGCGTGTGCGGGCGGCGGGAGCATCCAGCCCCCCGGCGCGATCGCAGCAGATCGTCGCCGCGGAGGCGCGCATCTGCCGCGGGGCCCTCAGGCAGCCCCTCGATGGAGCTGACGGCCACGGTGCCGCTTGGGCCGTGCGCACGAAGCGCGAGGATCGACCAGCTGGCCAGCGCCTGCCCGCTCGGTAAGACGCGTGACCCGCGCTCACGGCCATAAGCGGACCAGTTTTCCGCAGGCATCTCGCGTTGCGTTCCCGGCGCCGCCGTTCCTCCCCCGCGTTCGGGGTGCGCGCGTTCGTTTTGCGTCTGCGAAGCGGCGGACCAGGTATCTGCAGGCACCTCGCTCGTGTTGCTGCCGGCGTCGCCGTCTTTCTGTGCGCGTGTTGTGTGCGCTGCGTTGCAGTCGGCCCGCCGCGTGATCCCCGCGCGTGCGAGCAGTGCGACGCTGGTGTTTTCTGGCTTCTTTGTTTGTGATGGCGGACGGACCGCTGCTGAGCTTTCTGCGCCAAGACCCCGTGTTCGGGGCAGAATGGTCGGACATCGAATACAAGGCTGCGATTGACTGCCTAGGCGCTAATAAGCTGCTGACGCCGGCACAGCTGGCGAACATTCGGCTAGCAGAGCTGTCAGGCTCGGAGGGGCGGGCGTGAAAGGCGTGCTCCGCCGCGCGCTGGAGCGCGCCACAGCTGCGGGTAAGCAGGTAGCGTGCGCGAGCGCGCCCGGCGAGCCCCCCTGGTCTGCGCGCTCGCATCGGGGCGGAGGCCACTGTGGAAATGGCCGCCCCCGTGCACCACGTAGACGTGGGCGCTGAGTTGGCGACGATTACGTTGAACGGCCTCAGCCAGACGATCTGGCCGAGGCGCGCCCTCGCGTGAGCGCGCCAGCGGCGGTGACGGCGGTCGCTGCCTTGCACAGGAGCGAGAAATGTGATTGGATGGCTGCCGAGGTTGTGCGCGCGAGAAAGAGGGGCTGCGCGAATCCTTTCGTTTACTCTGATTTGCGCGGCTTTCTCCCGACTTGGGCCGCGAGCGCCCACGGGGTCGACGACGCAGACGCCAACGGAGTGACGGCTGAGTGCGGCAGTGAAGGTCAGCGCGCGTTGTCGTGGGCCGAGTTTCACCTCGCCTACGACGCATGGGCGATTGCGGCTGCTGCCACGAAGCAGCTATCTTACGCACGCTGCTTGGGGCATAAGCGATTTGTGTTCCAGGTCCGCGACGTGCCAGCGCGCGCGCGCGTAGCGGCGCGCGCACCCGTTGCCTTTCGCGAGGTGGCCTTGGAAGCTCCCCTCGCGGGCCGCAAGGCGGGGCTTGGGCTCCTGTGCGACAAAATCGTCCGCGAGAGCTGGGCCGAGCGCTCGCGACAGAGCGGCGTCGAGAAGTTCAATATTGAGGAGGCCTCGAAAGGGCTCGACGCGTTGTCCCTGCGGTCTGCCGAGAACGAGTTCGACCGCGCAGCCAAGGTCGCCCGCGCGTGCCGGGGGCGTCGCGCGTCGTGCGTGACAGTTGCGT